TTAGTAATGAACGATTGTAATGTAAATGACGTAACAAACAGTGATTGACATTAAAAAATAAAAATAATAATTAGCTATTAGATTTAAACTAGGTAGGTAATAGGTATAATAATTATATAGATGAGGTGCTAATCATAAACTAAATTGAAAATTAWTTAAAAACGCCACAAAACATTTTAAAACTAATTTCCCTAATCAAACTGTTCAAATAAAAACAAAAACTTTTTTTTGAAGAAATTTAAATCTTACTACAGATGGATAAAAAAAGCGTAAAGGTTGGTACACTTGCAACTAAATCGTATCAGCTATTATGGAGTTTTGGCCAAAGGTACCTACGGGTTACGGTAGGTAACCTACCACACATCTCCAATAAATAAGTTATTATAATTATGGCTGTGAGAAGTGCACAGAACAATATAAGCTGCTTTAGAGTCTTTTAAAAGTATAGATTTACCTGTTTGTTTTGTACTATAATATTTAGTATTTACCTATGTCCATCAATATTATGCTTGACTTCGACAGTTATATTAGCTATAATTAGGTACCTAGGTACCTATTTATAAAGTATATTGCAATACTTTAATTCTATGTAATTTTTATACTTAACACATTTAGGTACACATACTTTAGTTTTTAAAACCAATTTTCTTATTTTAATTTTTTGAGCTCTAGGCCACAAAATTTTTATTTTTTTTTATTTTTAGAAGAAAATATACAATCTATATCTTAGACATAATAAGTATATGTGCGATAAGGGAAACAAACAATAGGGTGATTTATATAAATTTGAGGAAAGAAGCCACCCACTGATGACACTTTCGTCTTGGTTTATCATATTAGTGATTTAGTTATATGTTAGTATTTAAATTGTATTTATATTATAAATATATTAAATATTTAGTTATATCTTATACGTTATTTATTTAAAGTAATAAATCTCTGCACCATTTACGTTTAAGTCGMCTTGGAGGGCTACCTGGGATTGTGAGGGATGATAAGTTTTTAATGAGTGGATTTGAATGAGAGGATAGACAGTTATGAAATTTTTTATGAAAACGTTTAGCTTTGTCATGAATAGTATTTAAGTTACAATCTAAATGTAAGGTATGGTTTGATATGTATGGAGGGGCGTTAAATAATTTCATTAAGGTCATATTTTGGAAARCTTGAATCTYATTCCGGTTTGACTTTTTAGCATTTCCCCATAGCTGCAATCCGTATGTCCAAAYGGGTTTTAATAAGGTTTTATACAAGAGGAGTTTTATATCCATAGGGGTGGCTTTGTTACCAGGCCACAACATAAATACAAAACACGAGATCCCTGGCTCCTTCACTTAAGTATGGCCTTGCAGTGTGACATATAAAAATAACTCYTATCGGTGTCTAGACCTTGGTCTGAGGATCATAACATTTGACAGATTTCAAACATACTTGATAATGATCATAACCATCCATTTCCTACCTACAGATACAACCATTGAATTAAATGAAATGAAAATAATATTTTATACATATTATGTAGACATAACAAATTACAAAAAAATTGGTAAAGTCACTCTGCGCTATATTGTGTAGGTGTCGAGTACAACATGTCAACATGTTATTGAGAGGACGCTACACCCACGTGTGTTGTCTCCGACTCTCCATCTTACAAATGTAATTTCAAAAACTGTTTTGCATGGGAAAGAACCATTCAAGCTATAATCCAAGCTAAGTTATTACATTTTCACACTATAAAGAGGAGTATATTTACAGTGCAACATTGTTTTTATTTTTTTGATATCAGAACTAAAAAAAATTATTAAAGTTTGRAAAGACCAAAAATAATGAATCCTTAAACAATAAGAACTTTTTTTGTATTTGTGATACTGAAAAATTAAAAATAAYGTTGCACAGTAATAATAATTATTCTCCTCTTTATGATGTGAAAATTTGGTTTCTTAGCTTGGATTACAGATTGAGTGGTTCTTTTTCACGCAAAACAGTTTTTGCAATGTTTTACATTTGTAAAACGAGTACCTATCTCTGAAGATAATTTTTATAAATATGTGCATATAAAATGCTATAAGTTATTTGTTTATTTAACAGCTATCATAAAGTAGATTGACTAAWAGCGTATAGAAAATGATTATTTATGCTATAGTGTAATACTGTTATGTTTCAGACAGTTTCTATAGTTAATATTTTTTGAATAACAATARCATAACAAAAAACGTATAATGGTTATTATAACAATTTGAAATTTAAATTGTTGTAATCAGTATTACTATAAACAACTTTTAATGCATTTTATTTTAACTGATTTATAAATGTAGTAATGTTCGTTTATTTATCTTTGTTAAACTGAAAATCATTTTAATCATAGATAATATTAGATTTAGATATATTATATTTGATAATTTTTTTTTTTAAAGAAAATTACTACATTTAAAATAAGGATTTTTATTAAAACACCATTTTATGATGTGAAAAAAATAATTATATTTTAAATTTCTTAATGAAAAGTTAAAATATATAATAAGAGCTTTAGTATTTTATAAATTTTTAAATTTATTTTCAACACTATCAGTAATTTCATTTTTTTTTAGCATATTCATATAGGTATCTAATTCATCTTCTTCATCATCACTTTCTATAGGATGCTCTATATCACTGTTATCTTTTTCAACAGGTATTTCTTCAATAGGACTTTCTGAATCAAAGTATTTGTCTTCTTCATCGATGGACTTAATGTGTAAGTTATCATATTCTGGATTATTATCTACATTGCTATACAAAAAGAAAAATGAATAAATCAAAATTACMTACATTATAGATACAACTTTAAATTCATACTTGTAATCATAATCTTCTTCGCCACTAAGGAATTTGTGAATCATATGAGATTTAAATTCATTTGATAAAAGGAGTTTTTCTTTTTCATTTAGTTCTTTATTATTACACTGTTCTTGATTGAGGAAATGATCTTCTTTCCATCGACGTTTGCCAATCTTTACTGTTTCAATTTTTGGTTTACTATATTCGCCCCAAAATGCTGAAGGCTTATGAACTTCCATAGTTGTRGATGGTTTATTTGACTTATCATCATCATCATCACTATCATATTTATCATCTTCTTCATCTACTTCATGAATTTCCTCTATTTGTTGTTTCCGYCTTAAATCATCTCTACTGTCACGATCAATTTGCTCAAATAAAACTTCAGTTAACCTAAAACAAATTGATTAAATAAATATTGTAAATATATAAATAAATGTAAATAGTGTTGTGGCATAATTACGAATTTTGTGCTAAATTTTGATTATCGTAGTTAAATTTTTCGTCTTCAGATAGGTATTGACCAATCAGTTGTTCCCAAAGTAAAGGTTCTCTATTTCGCATCTCATTATCACTAAAGTAATCCCCTTTAAGAAGTTCAAGCATAGCTTGATAACGTCGATTTTTACAAATAACCTAAAATATAACATAAATATACAATTATAAGTTAATATCATCAACAGTAATTTAGTGTTTAATATTTTCTATAAAGTATGGTATGCCATATTATACTTTTTTAGAATTTATTAATCGGCTTAATCTGTGTAGATGAAAATGTATTTCATAATTTCCAGATTTAAAGTATTCTAAGTGGTCTTCTATTAAATATTCACCAAAGATGTATAAAAACTTTGAGTGACTATCATTTAAAATGTCCTCAGCAATTTTTCGTCTTTCTTCAAGTGAAAACTCTGATTGGTCCTTCTGTTGACTTTTAAAATCACTATTTAAAGCTTTTAATACAATATGATCAATTATATGCTGTCGCAGTGTTTTAGAGTTTTCATCTATTGTTTGGACTCCTAATTGAAGGTCTTCTTCCATCATCTAAATAATAAAAAATAATTTTTAAAGAATATTAATAATTTTAAAAATAATTCATAAMTAAGTTTTTGCCACTAAAAATAAAATTTCAGGCTTAATGAATGTAAAAGATCTAGAATATCCCAAATTGAAGAATACAAATTTTCAAAATTAGTACAGCAAACATTGACATCACCATTACTGAAAGGAACTTTTTTTCTCATTATTAGATATTGTCATATTGACCATTTAAGTAAAAACTTCCTTTGAAATACTTTAAGCAATTTTATTAAATAGCACCAATTTTACCTGAAATTTTTAAATAATAATGACATTAACATGTATTGTATTATAACTTACCACTGAGTCCATCATTGAAGCATTGTATTAATTACAAGGTTTAAATATACTACATAGATATCAAATTTTAACGATTAGAAAAATTATATCAAACAATTAAAAAACTACATAGGCGAAGATCATTAAAATTTAGATATTTGTMATTACAGTTTTAGCTTTTTGAATGAATATGTAAATAATAAATATTATACAATGTTAAATGCAACTATGCAAGGTAGAATGTAAATACTAAATAATAGAGTATTGAGAATTTGACACGATAATTGTTATCATAATGATTATAAATTAATGATAACAAAATAAAGGAGTTATCATTTTATCAGTATTCTGAAATTCAAAATAGAAATTCATAGACGTATAGACGCAGTAACTACTAACTTGTAAGTCATAGTTATATTTATATAGTTTATTGGTCTATGGTGGAATAATTTATTATAAATTAATGCACATCACACATTTCAAGACTTTGAAAAAAAGTTTCCATTTTGATATTAATCTGTTTATGAATAATATTGTTGGTATATTGTACCATAGAGTAATATGGGGTGCTGTCCGATGTCTGACTAAAAAATATTGTTTTAATTTTAAAGAAGTCTGATCACATTTATTAAGTCTATTTTTGAAATAAAATGACGAATCTAATGGTAATTRTTTGCACGATCATAACGATTTTTTGATGTATGTATAATATCTGAGACAGACTTGTCCTCCTCCTTTAGTCCTATGCCAATATTGCTATTTATTTAAATCGGTTAAAAAAATACGATTAAACATCAATTCAACGGCGTAGATCAAATATTATATTCATAAAAATAAATGTTTTCACGCTTGCATTAAATGTATAATATTATCATCGTTTGTATTCACGTGTCATCACCTGTAATGAGTGTGAACTGACGGTGGTAAAAGGTGTTCAAAAAGTTTCATGTAAGTACTAAAGTACGTATCATATAAAGATCGGATGTCGAGTTAATTCGAGGAATCTATAACAGCTACTAAACAGCTATAATATGTACGGTGGCAACTAAAAACAACGATATATTTATTGATATTTGACGTGATCTGTAAAAACGTATGTGAAATACCGTTTGACTGGATGGTGAACAACACACTATACACACGGTTTAGAGAGAAAGAGCGAGTGGGCGAGTTTATATAACATTATGTAGAGGGTATAAAARCAAATAATATTACAAAACGACACAGGTGAGACGGCGGCGATTTTATATTATGTGTTCCGTCTTCCGTCCATAGTCGTTGGTTACTGTACCTATCATAATAATAATATTATGGTATTGTACATTTGTACCGCAGTTGCCATGGCACCCGGTTTGAGTTGTATTTTGATAACGCGCTAACATTGTTTGTGTATATATTTCAATAAGGTCCTGGAAAATTATTACGAACAAAGGAAATCGCATTTTGTTTGTTTTTTAATTGTACCCTTTGTTTGGCGGCTCCACGCCATTATAATTTATAACGTCAAGTGTGTTCGTCTTTAATCACCCTACACGACGAGGTCTGGACAGTATAAAACTAGTTATCTTAGTTTCTTCTGAGAACATAAACTTTACACTTTTACAGCATCGGTAAGCTCACCAAAATGATATTGTTTAYGTGAACTCCAGAACGTAGTTTTGTGATACACATGTAACATTATTGACCATTTATAATATGTAATTAATAGAATAGGTATTTGTGAAAAATATATAGGATAATCTAAAGCAATTGATTGGGTTAGTATATTATTATAAAAAAATAAAAAAATTAAACAATACAAATGTGAAAATTGGTTGCTATAAGTCTGTGAAAAAATATTCTATTCAATCTGTAGATTTACTTGATCATTATTAATTGTTGAGGTTTCCACTCATTGAAAAAATAATCATTCATGTTAATGATTGCTTGTTGACAAACCTTGTAGGTACAATTTTATTATAATATGAGATCCTATTTTTGTTTAATACCATTATTTATTTATGCGATAAATTTAATTTATTTGTTTGATGGACTATTGAAATTGAAGAAATTGAGATGATTTTGGTTAATAAATTAAAAATGAGAAATAAATAATGTATTGTACTTGTGATTATTATGGTTCATGGGTGTAAAAAAAATAATTTGCATTCTATTTAATTAGAATAAGTGTTTACAAATACACATTTTATTGAATTTATTTATTCATAAAAACATGCAAATAAAACAACTTACAATCTGTTAATGAAATAATAAAATACAGACTATTACTTATAATAGGTATATTATGTGAAGATACACTTATATTGTTTACTTTTATGCACYTAATTATTACCTAACTAATAATGATTCTTAATTGGATTATTTTTCTTAATTTAAATGTAATTTTRGTGTGAGTGATGTTGCATTATATCTTAATCCGGTCATATTGAATAAAATATTTCACAACATTTATTTGTTCATATTTTATAAACACAATTAATTTAATTCCTTCATAATCTTATTGTAATAATTAAATTTTAAYTTCAATTATTTTCTRGAATGTCTGAATTAGTTTTAATAAATGTTAAGGTACAAATAATTATTGGGTTTTTGGTAAGATTTATAAGATATTTTGACACACCTATTTAAAATTTAAATTAATTTATTTTTAGTATTAGGTACCTATTGATGGTTTTTTAATGTTTTTTTTATTTGTGGTTATTTTTATAGGTAGTACTGTTGAATATTATAAAATGGTTTTAATTCATGTTAAGTATGGTGACGACAGTCAATTTTTGTATGAAGCATCGTTGGAAACTCCTGTTGATGAATGTACATTGAATATTACTTCAATCTATAACGGCCGTTTGAAAATTTCCAGAATCTGTAGTGGTAATTATTAACTTATAATTAAGAACATTGTGTTTGCTTGTTTAATTTTATCATCAATATTATTTTTAATAACTTGATTGCTTATTGTTTTTTCATTAGAAATGGAAGAACTCAAAAAACATGGTACATTGTTGCCACCTGAAATAATGGGATTAACTGATGAACAAGTTGTTGAACTTAAATTGGTCGATAAATGGGGTGAAAAATGTAYACCAAGTGGTGGTTACTCATTTAACAAAGACCCAGTTGGACGCCGAAATGGAAAACAACCTAATGAAAAAATGCAAAATGTGTTGACCAAAACAATTGAAGAGGTCAAGGCTTGTGTGTCTAAAGTAATTATTATCACAATACAATTTTTTACTATTTACCTACTTTTCTAAATTATGTGTGTTTTATAGAAATTGGTTCAGTCTCAGATTCCATTAACTCAAAAGAAAGTTCAAGAAGCTCTTGATATACTTAGAGGCGCTATTATGATTGTTTATCCGATGAATTTACCACCACACGATAACATAAGACTTGAAATTGAAAACAATGAAGATCTTACTGGAACCCATGCATCAAAAGAGGTTAAAAAACAATTTTTTACGCTTAGTTACATTACTTCAGTTTTAGTTTTTGTAATTTAGAGAGTATTATTTTGATTCGTTTTAAATATTATTTCAATAGGTAATTATGTTATTAAACTTTCTATTTAGGTGATTGCACCTAATGTAGCTCAACTTTGGTTTTCTGGCCGCGAGTTAGTACGAGAACCAAATAAAAAAATGAAAGACTATTTGGGGCGCAATGAAAAAACAAAAGTTGTGTTGAAAATTACTAAGACAGGTTCTGGACCACCGAGTCGTGAACCACCGTTAAGTGAACAAGACCGAAAATTATTAATGGCTGAAGCTTATAAAAAACAAGAAGAATTAAAGGTAAGTTAGTTTTATTAACTAACTTAGTTTCTGTGCACATTGTAATTGTATATAGTTTTTTTTTTGTAACAGTAAAAATTGGAAGATTTTTTTATTATTATATAAGATAAAGCAGATTAAGCAGAGTTTAATATAATATACTTAGGTACAGGTATACTCATGAATAATAATAATTATTTTAAAGTTGCTTATTTATACTTCAAATTGAAGTGTTTATTGTATACAATGAATTTTTATAGTGTTGTTGATCAAAGTGTGTATTAAATGCTAGTAATTATTTTTATGTTTAGTGATTATTTCAACAATTTAATGTTGAGCAATGTTACTCTATTGTTTAAATTTTTAAGGGGGAGTATTCCAGACTCCAGTTTGACTTATTAATCATTACTTACCATTATACTATAGTAAAATATTTTTTATGTACATATTACTTTAAATCCATTACATTCATTGACTATTTATGATATAATTACCTCTGTAATATTCTAATCTTCAATCTAATTTCTATTTAAATGCATTATCAAGAATGTACAATTATTGATTACTGTAGTTAAGTTTAGTGATGGATATTTAAAATTAATTTTGAACATTCTTTATTTTATTTGTTGGTTCTACTGTTTTAGTGTTTATAGTTTAAAGTTAAGTAAAATATTCATTGTTAATAAATAATAATACATCAAATATGATTAGGTTTATCAAAGCCATTAATATCTGAAAATATAATTATATATATGTGTAAATGGCAATTTTAATTTGTTTGATATTATCATAAAATATGTAATGACTATGTTTGAATTTGGAAAAATTTTGAAAATATTTAAGGGAAATTAAATTTATTTAAAAGTAGTATCCTTAATCCACTTTTGTGTTAATCATTAATATTTTGTTGATAATACTAAAATAAATGTTGAAGAATTAGCCCACTATGTTATAACATAATGGCAATTTGAGAATATATATGAAATCTAGTTTTTTATGTTCCATTTTAAACAGATCGTTGACTGATAAGAAGTAAATTGGATACTTGCATTATATATTTGTAATCGTTTATTTATTTATTAAATAACCCCAATCAGCAGTTACATAGTTGTTGATATGATGTATACAAGTTATTGAAATTATAACATAAATGTAAACAAGCAGGTAAGTGCATGTCGCTCGCTCTGCTGTACAGTACTTTACAAATAGGTTACTGTAATGGATGATATTAAATTTGAATCAATGATATAATATTATTGTATACAAAAACGATTCTGAGCGGAGATAGTTTGTCAGTCTAGGATATTTTATAGTTTTATACTATATTAATTATATTGCTATTATTTTAAAAATAAATGTTGCTAACTATAAAATAAATTCAAAAGTAATCAAATCAGGTTCATTATGTACTCTACTCACTCAGTCATTTATAATACATACAATTTTTTATAAAGTATTAATGTAAGT